ACAATGAAGCACTTACATGTATTATATTATGTAATGCATTGCGTAAATATACTTTTTGTTGAATTACACGTAACTACCTCTTAAAATTGTTCTCTAATATACTAGCTAAAATAACATGTTTTGCAAAATATACTTATATATAATTTGTAAAATGAATCCAAATGTCCAATATTAATTAGGAACTGTCATCATAACATACATGTAGAAGAATTCATTGACACAAAATAATGAACATGACGATACAATTTGAATACTATGCAGAAATCTGATACTGTAAAATACTTTGTAAAATTTTGCTGGGGTCCTTTGACACGTGTTGACTTTTACAATATTTTGTTTACAAATTTCTACCAGAGAAAATTAGCAGTTTACAATTTATAGCTGCTGTATCAAATGTTTTGTTTTTCTGTAAATATTTTATATTATTTTATAAGTACAATGCTCCACTTCAATTGAACCCAACAGTGAAACAAATGTCCAGCAGCTTCATTGCTATAATTAAGATATACTCTATGTTATATATCTCTTAAGTAGAATTGATTTCCCATGCCGTTGGTTGTAATTTACTTCACTTTCACAGTTACTCTGTCTCTAATTAGCCCAATTTCTTTATTCTTTTCTGTTTTTTTTTTTGATTTCTTCTTTGATGGATCACTAAAATAAATAATCAAATATAAAATCTTCTGCAAATTATTGTGAACATTTTGAAGCATGTTCCATTAATTCTATTATTTTCATATTTTTCAAAAAAATGTCACATGGTTCTATGTTATGTAATATGGTGTGTATTCATGATAATAGCATTTATATACTATGTTGACTTCACTCAAAAAATGTTTGGTCTGACATTTAAATTTAAGTCCCTGAAAACAAAATCACTTAACCATTTCAGAAATTGATCAGTTGAATTAGAACACTTATGGCTTGCAAGCAATAGTCTCTATTGTTGTGTTCTGCCAAATTATTCTATCATTAAGAATTGTGGGTATTTTTCAGGTCAAATTTGCATGAACAATAGCAAAAATATCCATAATTTGCTATGATAGAACAGTTTGGCTGAAAGCAATGCTATCCTTAAAATTTAATAATTCATACTGCTGTGCACTATAAGTAAGGAGCAAATAGGTCGTTGCACTGTGACTTCGTATATGACTGTGATGTTTGATAACAAATGTCCCTCACTTATCAGCACATGCTCACAGACTGTTTTGACAAGGTTATGCACAAGTTGTTTTATTAATGGAAACATGGACATTTGAACAATGCTGTTACTTATATATCTTCGGGTATGAATGGTCGGTTCTTGCCAACCAATCACAAGACACACATATGCGGGCAAAATGTTTGCCGGCCTATAAACATGAGATGATTTGTCTGTTACTCTGTCTGTGTGTCCGTCCTCCATTTGTCTGTGTGTCTGTCCTCCATCTGTCTGTGTGTCCGTCCTCCTTATGTCTGTGTGTCCGTCCTCCATCTGTCTGTGTGTATACCTCAATATGTGTGTCTGTTCTCCATCTGTCTGTGTGTCTGCCTTTAGGTGTGTGACCATTTATGTCACACATCTAACATTATGTACTTTGGTCGTTATAATTAGTGCAAACCATTAATTATCTGTCTATATCTATATCTAATCTGCGTAATTATGATTAATTTTTGTGTAAAACATAACGTATGGTTCAGATAAATTCAAATAATAAGTAAATAAGTACTTGAATTCAAATAACTAAAGTAAAGTGATAATACATGTCAATATTAATCTAATGCTATCACTCATATATACCATAATATGAGGACTCAGGTTATTACGAAGATACCTCAAAGTATGCACAAAGACAGTACAACGGAAGTATCAACCAACGCTCAGCGGAGGTTGATGCAACGGCTTACTGTCTGACTGTCTGAACAGAATCAGTGAACTTCTTTGTGTGGAGTCTGGTCAATTCCTGGTGGCATCCATATTTGTTTTTTTTAAGAGGACACTTACGTGCGTAATCATTCCATATTTGGAATTTGCATTTCCTTATATAGTAGGATGAAAATACCCCGTAAAATATCGCAAAATTATGGCACGCTGTAACTTATGGCGTTACGGTAACAGATGTATAACAATATATAATATAATGAATTCTTCACAATACTGGGTTTCAGCCCGTTCTTGAGAGTACGCTATATGATACTTATTGCCAGAATAGTAAAAGTGAATTCCAGCACAGGTCTAACTTTAAGGGCTGTCTCAGTTCTCTTAATTACCATTGAAATGAAAAATGTCAAAGTTGTAAAGTTTCATCATTCAGTTCCTGGATTTCTGCTTATCTGATCTAATCAACCCAGAGGTCCGTGTAACTCTTATGAAAGTCTAATGATGTGCCATTTCAACATCAACCAGTTTGAGCACCTGCCAGATGAAATTAGTCTAACTGCATGTGTATTGTTCTTCGGATTTGCTTGATTTTTCTGACAAAACAATGATGGTGGAATCAAATTTGGGAGAGGGCTCCTCATTTCCCTTATATTTGAAGCAGTTCTTTCGGCTGAAATGACATTTTTAGCTCCAATGCACTTTTACCATATTTGCTCTATTAATAGCGCAGAGGTGTGTCTATGTTCAAATTAAGTCATATTTTCATGAGCTAGTATTACAATAAAAACAATTTTTGCTTGACACGTGCTTCTATTAGAGATGCGCTTCTGATAGAATAAATATGGTACATATAAAACAGCAAACTATTGTGATTGTATTATTTTAATATTCAGCTGCCTGAGAATGCAGCACTTGTGGTTTTTATGTAGTACATGTACTCATGACCCTTCATACTCCCATCTGAGTTAAATATAGAGTGTCTGGATTATTGGGGTGGAGACAGAACTGCATGTTGGGAATTCTACCTCAAAGATATACTCCATCGTAAACAAAATGTATATCTCCTGTTTTAGCGAATTGTGAGAGGTTTACAGTGCTAAGTGATCAAGTTAAATGTTATATATCGAATGTACATGTACATGTATGCCAGCTGAGATTTGTGGATCAGCAGCAAAAGCCCTGGATTGTGTATGGCTTATTCGATCATCGTATCTCTGATTTCCTTTTTGAAAATCACTTTAAAGTAAATGTGAGTGTAATTCTAATGGACAACGTTTTACTAATTTGACTTATGTGACATAGACTTGCGTTGCGTTAATTTTGTCTTTCCCTCGTTTATTTTCCAATTTCTTTTTGTTAGTGATACATACATCCATGTTGGATTACCATGTTGATATTATAAACCATTTAAAGTTCACCTCAAGAAATGTTCGCCATAATTTGAAGACATTTGTAATGGGAAAATTGTTTGCAAAAATCTGTCTAGCTACACTGTTGTCAGATCTCACATATGTGTATTCCCTTATTCTTCTATTTTCTGGCTCACCTTAACCTAGATTGTACACACTATGTGTTATACACGTTTCAGTCACACTAAAATAAACCAAAATACTACCCGGTAGTACCGGTGTATTACTCATGCTATTTTATTGTGACAAAAACATTTAACTATGATAAAGCATAACACATGATTTGACCTTTGTTTTCAGACTGTTCTGAAGACAGAGCTAATGCTGTATTATAGTCTTGTTGCTTTAAGTTATGTTATTGGATATATTTTGTTCATAGTATTTGACGTATGTGCTGTATATACCAGTAACAATTAGGCCAGACTTTTATTATCTCTTGTTTCGCGAACCGCCGAATGAACTGGAGCCGAAAATGAAATAACAAATTTTATTTCAGCGTAATTTCTCGCACCTGCCGACTTGTGAGGGCAAACAATTGCTAAAAAAAACTTATTTTTATCTTCATTTTTTTTACACCCACCGCATAACAAACCCAAGTTGCTTTTTTTTGGGAGTATCATGATCAAAGTACCAAAGTCTCGCGCAGATGAGAAACAAGGTTATACATGGAATAAAATTTTATTTCATTTCTTCTCGCTGATCAATGATCTCACTTACAATTCTTTGAGAATCACACAAATCTAATGGAAAAAAAGAATTAATTTTATTTTTTTTCCGCCCTCAAAAAAAATTGCCTTTAATATAAAAACTAGATGATCAAGTTCACAGCATCGGAATCAAGTCCAACAAATTGCATGCGAAACTGACGTCTCTAAAGCGGTCTACTTAATCACAATTTGATGAGAAGTCTAGTTGTGTTTAGCATGTTCTAAATAAGGATTCAAACTGTTACATGTCAGGATTTTAAGTAATCCAGAAAAAAAAAAATTAGTCAGTTTCTGATGCATGTAACTCGCCAAAACCATAACTACTGATTCAAATTCTTGACTTATTATACTAAATATGGTAAAGAGTAACAGCTTCAACACGACTTCAAAGTCCAAAATTCTCAAGATTGTAATAGACGGAACAAAATTTCAAAGCATTTGTTGCCATAAAGATATATGTACCGGTACATGTACATGGTTTTGTGGTCTAGGAATATGCAAGTTAGCTAATTACCATACTGCATGTTTGAAATGTGCTACCCCATTTGTACTGAATATGCTGCTACAAAGTGTTTTTGTAACAACAAGGTAATTTGATTGTTGCCATGGCAACAAGGCCAAATAATTATGTGTTCAATGTACCTATAGCATAATTTGTGATAATTATTTTGCTACAAGAAGCCAAGACATTATACAAGACATTATTCTCTACCTCCATTAATTATATTCATCCCATTGTTTCCATGGTAACAAAGAAGAAATAGGATATCTTATGTTTCTCAGATGGTTTGCAGCCACTGTTTTCTGTAATGTATATGGCAATACTTAACTTTACTGAAAATTTGTAAATCTTTTTAAGGATTTTTCGTTGAAAAACCAGACTATTAAGGACCCTAATAAAATCTACAATATTTTGTAACTATGTCTCGTGCGAAAAAAAAGTCGTTTGTAAAAGTTTCATGCACGTACTTCTAGGAATATAATATCAATAATTCATTCGTTTTATTTACTTGTTGATTTCAGGTTCCTCTATACAGAGTGATAAGGATCCCCTTGGAGGAAGTGCAGAGAACCTTTTAGCTGATGAGAAACCATGGTCACAGGATGATACGGCTGCATCTACTTTGTCGTCAAACAGAGGGAGTATTGCAGAGTCACAAGACAGCGCCTCTCAGCATTACGGGTTACTAGATTCAACCCCGTCTTCTAAAAGAGGATCTATCGGAGAAATGCTTACTTCCACGAGTACAACGTGGGCAACTTTTGAGGAGGGAAATTCAGATAAAAATAGAGACACTGTTTCTTTGGTTACTGATGAAGACAAGATAAATTCTAAAGCAACAGAGCCAGAGGAAAAAATAAAAGATGTTTCCAGTAAAGAGAAGGTAGACGTTGCCAAAATGTTTTCTCCTGATCATGAACCGGCTTCGCCCAGTGTCGCTACTACTAATACGGTTGATTCAGTTGGTATCAGGGACGAATTTCAATGGGTGACACCACAAACTGGTGCTTCTAATGTGTCCCAGGTGAGCAGTGCAAGCAGTGCTTTTGATCATAGCTTGATGTCTTTGCCAAGTTTTGAATCAACCAGAGTAAGTGCTGGTATGTTGGATTCCACAGCTCAGGAACAACAAGTGCATCTCCAAAATAGTTTTGATCAGTCTTTGTTGCCAAATCAGAGTGGTTACTCATCAGCGTCTCAGAATACTCCCAGCACACCCAGCCATTGGATTTCATTTGACGATGGTGCACAAAAAAAACCTAAACCAAAAAAGTTTTTTGGAAGCTCATTTCAGCCAGAACAAGTTGAGATTCAACATACTGGACCAGCGGGTAATCCATTTAAAAAAGAACTTCTTGCCAGTCAGTATCAGCATTCGTTTGATCAGACGCGATCATTCAGCACGCAACAACAACGATCATTGGATCATTCAGTTGACCCGTCAACGTCATTCACTAGTCACGTCTCAGCTAGTCACGTCTCAGCGTCCATGCATCCGTCACCTTACAATCCATTCCAGAAAGAATCAGCAGCGGTAGACCAAGCCATATTTGGTACACAGGCTGCTGCCATCAGTCCTTCTCCTCAACAGTCCAGCATACAAGCTCAGCCAAATTTTGGTCACTTTGATGGTAACAGCTCCAGTGCGAGTCAGTTCACTGAGCCTCCTAAAAGTCCTGGAAATCCGTTTCGTGTTGAAAAGCTGCCACAATATATCCAGCCTGAAGCTGCAGCATTCGTCAGTGACTTGACAAGTGATGTGAATATGGCCACAACGCAGCCTGAAACACCAATACCCCTGTATGCAGCAACAACATCGTCTACAATACCAGTTACTATGCCGGTTACAGCAGCTGCAACATTTGAACCAGAGCCAGTGCAAACAAGTATTTCTTCTCCACCTGAAGCTGCAAAAGAGATTACACCAAAGCCAGATGCTGCATCAGAGGTTCACCAATATCAGGATGAGTATCCACCAGAATCTTATGATCTACTCAAGGGATGGCCTTTACAACTCCGAACTCCAGACAGGAAAACAATCACTGGGTCACGTTATTGGAGGCCAGTACATATCAGACTCATTGATACTAATGTTTTACAACTTTACAATGAAGCAAATCCTCTTGAGCCATTCCGTGAGTTACCTTTGCAATCATGTTACATGTTCTCTGTACCTAAGCTCCAGGCCCATGACACTCGAGGAAAAATACACACCATCAAACTCGAGTATGTCTCATATAAAGAGAAGAAGAAGTTTGGGAAGCATGTGATAGACCATGTGGACCACCGAGCCGAGCTCTTAAAAATTGGATCCACCAACTATGACCTGTTTGGAAATTTTATCCGAGCCGTGAATGACACCTTAATGAAATTACCATCATATAGAGACAGGGGAACAACGTACCGACAGGATGCAGTCACGATCGAAGTCACTGATATGTGCCGGGTGAAATTAACAATGAATGGAGAAACTGATAAAATTTCTACTATGGTGCACATCCATTGCCTTGCATTTGTCACTGGTATGCCAGATTGTGTTATTGGACTGAACGATGTTCAGAGACAAGGCCTGGAGGTAGTCTCTCGGCAGGATATAATACCGCATCGCAGTGATCAGTGGATTAAGATGGAGAACGTGGAGTTACATAGTTGTGTTGATAAGGACAAGTTTGTTAGCGAACGTTTTATTGAATTCCACCCGCTTGATGCCTGTACGTTTGAACTTATGAGATTTCAGATCAGACCCGATAAGAAGCAGGATTTACCATTGACGCTCAAAACGGTGGTGTCTGGGGAGCAGGCTCATATTGAGCTACGTGCGGATGTGTTGATACCTGGTATGTTGTTTATTTTATTTGTTTATGTTGAATTACATATTTGTTTGTAAACAACTTGTTCTCTTTCCATCACCATCTTCATTTGAGTTGTGTTTGTTTTACAGGTTACAGAAGCAAAAAAAGTATGCAACAAAATCCGTGTGAGAACATTATGATTTGTTTCCCTCTTCCTGAAAACTGGATTCCTATGTTTAGGGTTGAAAAGAAATTTGGTTATTCATCGGTGAAATCTACAACCAAGAAATCTGGTCGTATAAAGAAAGGTAGGTCAACTAATCTAATTTCCTTCTCTCTTTTTTCATGATTATAATTTATTTTTTCTACGCAAAGTAGTTGGCTACCAATAAATTTGTTTTTTAATGTTTACACTATGTTTTATTTTATGCTGTTCTTCACAAAGACGGGACGGGACCAAACTGTTATTTGCACAAAACATAAATTCCATGAAAATGGGACTTTTGGACCCATATGGTAAAAAGTTTCATCATTTCTCAAAATATGTAGTTATTAGATGGTTACTATTAAAATATTATCATTTTCTATAAAATAATGGCTTAACATGGCTTCCTGTGCAATTTATTCTAAAAATATATTTCATACAAGGGGAAACAAATTTATGACGTGTGAAAAACAATAACTATGTAGCACTTACAAAACAAGATATTGTGATCAATTTTTTTGTTATTAAGTTGAATACCCACAAACAACCTTGATACAACTTTGCCACTGTCGCCATGGTAACAGCAGTATGCATACTGCTAGAGCAAAATATTGCTGATTTCAATAAGAGTAACACTGAGATATTGATATGCTATGCATCCCCTGCTGCTTGTACAGACAAAAAAAAACATGTTTAAAAATTCATGACAGAACTCATGAGACTTTCCCAGAACATACTGTAAAACCATTTATTTTCACTGACATTTAATTTCACTATTTTGATGCATTTAGCAGTTACGCTTTTAAATTCACTTGGGAGGGAAACAATGCATTCTATTGTTATTTTACATGACTGTTTAAGTGGATTTAATTTAGCAGATTTTACTTATCAGTGAAAATAGCAAAATTAAAACCCAGTGAATAATTAATGCATTTACAGTATATTTATACAAGAAATGTAGGTTTCATTTGGTATGGCATATTTCAAGCCCGATAAAGCATCAGAATGTCTCTCCCACACACCAGGCGCTTTATATCTCAGAATACTGACATAGTACTTGTATACAAAGTGCGCTAATAAATCTCAGAAGTACCCATCTATAAGGTGTTGTACATCCCAGAAGTACCCAGATGCAAGTTCATGAGGAATATTATTAGTTCCTCAACATTATCCTTGATACATTTCAGAAAAGCAGCTTTAATGGCAGGGAAATCATCAATCACTTTCTTTACAGATTTTCTCTTCACATGACGCATGCAGTGAAGCACCGATAAATGCGCTCCTCAAAGGGAAGTTGGTACACAAGTTACTGTACATATACCTTGGACTCAAGTTCACTTTCCAACAGTACAACAAAGCTAAAAATTCCAGAAATGCAAATGTATGAATTTAAGCCTAACAAAATGACTCTCTGGATACATGCATGCATGTATAAAAACAAACAATTTAATAACTATTCAATAAATGCTACACTATCACGTTACTGTTGTAGGTAGTCTCTGTCCAGGTTTGATGGAAGTCTCTGTTGGCTCAGCTAAATATGAACATGCATACAAATCATTGGTGTGGAGAATTCCCAGACTTCCTGAGAAAAATACAGGTAAATTGTTAATAAAAGTTAATACTTAAATAGTTACCACTATATGCAGAAAAAAGGGCTATGACTGGCACCCCAGCATTAAAAAACACATTAAAGCTAATATCCCACAGATAGGTGCTCATGAGTTAATAGTGGGAATTGCACCTGTATTTGGCCACAGGGGGTGCTAAGAAATCACTGGAGCATTGTGCTTGTATTTAGTGGGTGTGGCAACTGTATTTGTATCAGTGGGGCATTCACAAAAATAACTAGAGGGTGTGGCACTTGTATTTTCTAAAACATTTGATGACATTTGGGGCTCTCACATATCGCTATTAGCTGCTGTACAAGATACTCACAATACAGAACTGGAAGGCTAGAATGGTAGAGCTAAAAGTAACAACTTTAATCTTGTAAAAAATTTGTTTATGTGTATCGTACGTAACACATATAAGTCATCACTGCACTAGTATATGTATCGTAGTAGGGCTAGTATGTCGCCCTCTGTGGCAGTCATGTTGTAGGTTGTTTGTTCTGCTTTTCTATTAATAAATCAATAACTTTTATTTTAAAAATCCAACAATTTTTATGCTGTTCATAGCTAAGTTAATATCTCAGAAACTAAATGTTCTATTTGCGCACAGTCTATTATATAACATACAATACATTTAAACAGTTATTATTTTGGTGAGAGTTCATCACTTGAAGCTGTAGTTAACATGCAGCTGTCATGTCTATATCTGTGTGAATCTAATCATGTGTGGGGTCTCTGTAATAAACAAGCTGGCAAACAAGAAAATCATCTATCACTGTCATCGGAGATCAGTTGATCTGATAAAGGTCATGCAAGCCTTGACCTCTTTACACCATATTCTTAGGACACACAAGAATAATGCATTGTGGGTGTTTGAATCTGCCATTTATTTAGGATAACAAAGATGGTCACTCTTGCCAACTTCATTTCATGTAATTTGCAACAAAATAATAAATGTGTTTTCGATAGTAATGAACATGATAGTTTTATACAAATATGATGCCTCTTCAAATTAAAGTGAAAATGAATCTGCATGAATAATTTTCATTTTTGTATAGCATATAGTAATGTGAAAACCATTAAATATTGAAAGAATAAGCTTTGTCATTGTAAATTATATAATTATAATAATTAAGGTATTTTAAAATGTGGTATCTTGGACATGCTTTGTCTGTTTTTGTTAAAATTTGGTACATACGTTATGCTTGTAGGGATACGTGTACATGATGATTTGTTTTATGATTTGATCAAAGATGGTCTACTGCCAGTAATCTTTCTTGTTCAATGGCCATAATACTATATCTCTGAGATCCATGTACAGTCTCATATTTTGCTCACATACATCATAATACACACCTGTGTTTATTTGTAGGAGTATCTTCCAAAGGTTGTATTAAATGTCCAAAAAAAATCAAAATAATAACAAAAATTAATAACGCTCAAGGTTGCATGTTCATCATTTTGGAACACATTCATTTTTAACTTGTACTTTGTTTACGATACTGAGTACATGTACTTTACTTTAGTTTTGTTACAAAGTTTGAGATTCTATGTTAAATAGACTGCCAAAGTCGGGACTTCTTTTTTGTTTTACAAAAAGAAATAATTAATTGCTCTTTTGGTCCTTTTAGCGTGATCGCAAAAACTAACCTGGCCGCTAAAGAAATCCAGACTGGACGCTTCTGGGGGCATTTGACTGCTATTAATTATTCATGATGTCATTGATTATTCATGAGTGGGTGTGTGAAAGTAAACACGACCTTTTAAAGGTTGATATGATTTGATCACAGAGATGGATACTTTAACTTTCTAAGTGCATGTTTACTGAAAACAAGTCGATTGAAATGTCCAATGTATATAACCACAGGGAGTTGGACAAACTTATGTATTTTAGTAAATTATTAAATAATAAATTGTTATATAACTTTTCTTTTACCCCCCCCCCCTTCCTGGTATCGATTTCAAGTAATCACTGATCCTTGTTTATACCACTCTTTCCTTTATCACAACTTTGTTACGTGCTAATGTTATATGTAAATTTTAACGCGCGATGTAAATACTGCAAATGAACAAGTCATTTAATAAATCCGATTTTCGATGATATTAGACTATTATTCACTCTCAATCACAGACTATACACTACAAATTCATTCAGAAACTAGTTACCTGGACCAGTGATTTGCATATATAATTTGATTGCATATATTATGCATGTCCAATTCAATTCATGATCAGATAAAAGATGACAACCATCTTGCTTTTTGTCATATTACTGTAAAATACATAATTTTAGCTGGAAGACTTTATGGGTGTTTTGTAAAAAAAATTTAATTTCACTGATTTTTGACAAGTTTACTGTAAAATATAGGAAAAAAGATATTTCCAATGATTTGCTCCTTCAATGAAAATAAATTCCAAGTGAAAATAAAGTAGTTCACAGTACATGATGATATCATCACGACAAAATGATGCGAATTTGTTTGTTGCAAAATTGAATTCAGTTTCCAATTTTTGATGTTTTGTTTCAACAGATCCGCATACCACACATATCTTTATGTGTAGAATGGACCTGACATCAGATCGTGAAATTCCTTCGACTTACGGCACTGCCAAGGTGGAATACACCATGCCTCATACAACAGCCTCCAAAGCTGCAATCAGATCTATTACTGTAGCAAATGAACGATGTCCCGATAAACTAGTGCGATACAAGGCAATTTACAAATACGAAGTTGAAATTGAACAAAACTTTCATTTCACAGCTGTGCTAGATGACGAAGAGCCGAGACAGTGTATACAACAATAGTACCGTGATGAGGTAACAATTCTGTTGTGTTCAGCCACAACAAATCATATTCTTCATTTCATACAAAATTTGTGCATGTTTGTATGGGTCCTACTATTTAACGCCCGGACACGCGAGGGAGTGTCCGGGCACGCGCGGAGGCGAACAGGGGGGAATACCTAACGCGCGGGGCAGCGGCAGCAATCCTTGTACTGTATAATATTTGTTTATGCTCAAAATTTGAACCGGAGTGGCGAATTCGAGCAGCTATCCACACTTTTTATGATCGACGCCCGGGCATTCCGGCGAGTCGAGTCCGCCATGTTGTTTACTAATTTTGGTTAGCGTTTAACAATAGGACAATACCATTCGATCCATGGGGGTGACAGTCCTACGAATGTGCCGACAT